GAATGATGGAATCCTCTGTCCCATCCCCCAATATCCTCTTTATTCTGCTTCAATTACCCTTCATGGTGGCACTCATGTACGTGTTTTTGCTTCTATTTAAGTTTATTAATGTTACTTGAGTAGTTATCTTTGAATCAGATTCTTTAATAAAAACTTAGTTTAATCTACTTACTTTTGGAAAAGATTATTTTTACCCCTTGGATTATTGAGAAGTCCTCAAAAGAGTCAGTGGCACATATTGTGGATAATGGGGCCACCCATCTAACCTCCTCCGCTTAAATACCAGTCTGCCGTAAGAGATTGTTGTAAACAATTATTAAAGAAATATCTGACCTGATTAAAGTTACTCTTCCATTGAACAGATAAAATACAAATGTTTGTGATTGTTGGCTTTTTGGTGTAATCTTCAAGATGTAAAGGATAAACATTGCATGCTAGATTTTATATATACTTTACACGAGTAGGTTTTTGTGCCGTGGAGTCCTCTCTTCTTTTTCCCTTTGGTATGAGGGATTCCTAGACAGTATATTGCCTTTGCACCTTTTCAGTGCTAGGCTGCTTTGTTAATAATATACTGCGTACTTAACTTTTCAAAAAGAAAAAAAAATATGTTTCAGGTAATTCATGCAGAAGCCTCTAATGTATATTTTTATTTGGTGCTAGATTTCTTATTATCTTGATGAAGAAACAGGTTGGGCACTTGAGATCTCAGAGCTTGAGAATCAGCTAAAAACTGCAAGATCCAGGGGTGTTAACGTTAAGGCTTTGGTTGTGATCAATCCAGGCAACCCAACTGGGCGGGTAATGGTTTATACGATTTTTGAAGCTCATAGCCATCTCTTTTTATTTGTATGGACAACGTGATTTACTTCATTTGATGAGAGCATACAGTGATGGTACATGTGGTCCTCCCTTTCCTACAAATATGTAAGAATCTTTACATGTGGTATGATTAGTTCTCTGTGTATGTAGGTTCTTGCTGAGGCCAACCAACAGGAAATTGTGGAATTCTGCTGGAAAGAAGGCCTTGTTCTTCTGGCTGATGAAGTGAGTTAATTCTCCTTTAGATGCTTCTTTGCTTGATTCTGACAAATTCTCTTGCTTCTTTGGAAATATGATCACCAGTAATTCTGCAGGTTAACAGTCTTTTTATTTCTGAATGTTCTGAGATTAATTTTCAACATTGTAAGAAAAAGGGCAGCCTGGTGGACTAAGCTCCTGCTATGCGTGGGGAAGGGCTGGACGAAAATGGTCTATTGTAACATTGTAAGCACTCTCATATTTTGTGGAACCTGTGCAGGTGTATCAGGAAAATGTTTATGCACCTGACAAGCAGTTCCACTCATTTAAGAAAATATCCCGCTCTATGGGATTTGGAGAAAAGGACATCTCTTTAGTTTCTTTTCACTCTGCCTCAAAAGGTAGATACAACTGCATCCATCTCTCCCTCTCTGGTTGGTTGTCTTTCTATTCTGTTTGTCTGGATGTTAGGAAGTTGTGGCGAAGAAGGGGGTAAGGTGCGGTATTTCATTTTTACAAATACCTCTGAATTGTTTATTGCTGTCGCTAACTTTTCTTTCTGGTTTTAGGATACTATGGCGAGTGTGGAAAGCGAGGAGGCTACATGGAGTTCACTGGATTTAGTCCTGAGATAAGGGAACAGATATACAAAGTGGCATCTGTCAATCTTTGTTCCAACATTTCTGGTCAGATTCTTGCAAGCCTCATCATGATCCCTCCAAAGGTTGGTAATGCCATGTCCAAAAGGAGTGAAATGGATATTGAGGATTCATATAGCCGACCCCAACAAGTTTGGGTTTGAGGCGGAGTTGTTAAGAAGGAGTGGGGTCTCCACCCTCAATTCAATATTTGGGAATTAGCGGTTATTGCATTCCCAGAATGTTACCTCAATGATTTTCTGGCTTATTTGGTCTAGTAGAATCCGAGTCATTCATATAGTAGTAATTTTGGTATGAGGGTAATAACATTGCATGAGATGGAGTGGTCATGTCCTATATCGACCTCCAGATGCATCAGTCCAGACTCTGGAGTTGTGAAACCATGATGATTGAATGTGTTAATAAGAGGATGAGATAGACCTAAAATCATACGGGTAACTGTTTTTTCGCTAGGCTTTTGAGGAGGAAGAAGAGAGAAAGAAAAGGGGAAGGATTATATCAGAGAAGGCCAAGTCCTCAGACTCGGAGGGAATGTTTCCCCTTATCCTGGATAAGAATTCTCCCATTGCCCAAGTCCTCAGAAGGGAATTTATGATCCCTTATCCTGGATAATAATCCCCCATTGCCTAAAATTCCCAAATGAGTGTTGTGGGTTCATCCTAAATCTGGTGATCTCATGGTCTAAATGTCGAATTAGTTTGATAAAGTAATTGCTTCAATGAGTTAAGATTGCTGGAGCATTTTGTCAAATTTTGTAGGTATCACACTTTTTTATGTGGGAAGATAAAATTAGATGTCACTACGGCGGACATGAATTCAGCTCTGATTGTGAACTGTAAACTTTGAAGCTTTGATGTGAGGCCCCTTTGTCTGTGTTATAGATGCCTAACTATCAGCACTGCTCTGTTGATTTATTCAGGTGGGCGATGAGTCATACGAGTCTTTTTCTGCTGAGAAAGAAGCAATACTCTCATCATTGGCAAGGCGTGCAAAGGTCAGTAGAATTAGCATATAAGACTGGGATTGACACTAGTTTATTTTGCTGAAGTTGTTTTACGATCATGAACCTTAGATTTGAATAGTAGAGGTGCTCAAAATAGTAAGCAAAGATGTCTAAAATTTTCTCCTAGAAAAGTTGTCCCAGACGTTTTTTTTGCTTAATTTTCATTTCAGCTTTCCAAAAATGGTGTCGGATTTTTTTTTTCATTAGAGTTCCATGTAAGCTTCCTTTTGGTGAATTTCCAATTGATGCAGTTTCTGAAACCGACTACTTCGTCAACAGATACTGGAAGACGCATTCAATAGTTTGGAGGGAGTCACATGCTATAATGCAGAAGGTGCATTGTATTCATTTCCACGTATTAACTTACCTGACAAAGCAATAAAAGCAGCAGAAGAAGCTAAAACTGCACCAGATGCCTTTTATGCTTGGCGTCTCCTTAATGCCACTGGAATTGTCATTGTCTTAGGCTCTGGATTTGGCCAGGTGATTGTTATATTTTTTGCCCACTCGCTTCCTCATTCCACTTATATATATTGTTACTGATATCGTCAAGCCATACTCTGTCAATATGGTCTGTAACTGTTATCGCTCATTTAAAAAAAAATGTAGATGGCTTTCACCGGGAACATTGAACATTAATAAGCATTTCCCGAACACTTTGAATCTCTCTACCTCAAAAGAATTTAATTAATTGGAAAGAAAAATTGGGCAATTAATTAGATTTTTGGTGCAAAAGCAGCACACCTTACAAGTAGAGAAGAAGAAAACTGTTGATTGCATGTGTTGAGAACTAGGGGGGATTTTTCGATACTTGTGTTTCTTTAGAATTGTTGGATTCGACTAAATTTGTATTTACTTGTTGCTTCTATGAAGCGTCCTGGAACGTGGCATTTTAGGTGCACAATATTACCGCAAGAAGAGAAGATACCAGCTATTGTATCTCGTTTTACACAATTCCATAAGCAGTTCATGGATGAATTTCGCGGCTAAAGTATGTGGGCATTCTATTTTAAAGAATTTTGAATAAGAACATCTGGTAAGCTTTGTTTTATTTTTCATCTTCACTAAAACAAATCATACTTCAGTAGTGAAAAGTGAAAACTGGTACGATTTTATTCTTATTTGTATTTGACCTGATATCTATTTTTCTCCTCCTAGATGATCAATGTGATGTAAATTTGTAACTATTCTCTGATCTACTTAAATAAGAATTTCCTCCTTGAATATGTTGCATATCTAAATTCTAGTCTAGACGTGAATATATATGAATTCCTTGGAGAATTAAATTATTCAAAATAAATTTATCAACACCTTAGAATCGACTTAAAAAACTAACTTGCTTTAGTAGATGTTTTCAAAACGAAATGGTCACTTAAATTGGTAAGTAATAGGAGTAATACGTCAACTTTAAATAAAACTCAATAATGATTTTCTATTTAGATAATATTATTATGAAACCTCAATAAAGAGGCGTGCTAACTTTGAAAAAGAAATTTAAAAGATATTGAAAGTACAATTTATGTGTGCGCGAGAAGAATTAAAGGTAAATTACGTTTTATGTGTAGCGTAAAGGTAGTGTCTTTTATGTTTGTCTTATTATTAGGCTAAGATTCACATAGCAATGGCTAGTATTTGATTTTGAAAAAAAAAGATCAGATCATTTGGAGGCTCGAATTATTTTTCTACCCTAGAGGTTAGTGTCCGCTTGTACTTGTACGCCAGCAGCTTTAAAAAAGGCAATTCAAAAGTGAAATTAAATCAAACTAGTATTAAATATTCCGTATGTTTTAGTTTGTTTGATTTAATTTATACAGAGAGAAAGTAAAAAAGATTATTGGATCTTGTAGTTAAGATTAGAATATCTTAACTATAAGAAAAAGAAAAAAGGAATTGAGAGGAGAGAGTAAGATTCACTTGCAGATCAGAAAAATTGGTCTTTTACCTAGTGAATAAAGAAAATCTGTAATGATACTGTGGTGTATCCAGCAGAAATCTATCAAGCTATACTTCTTTTCAGTTTTCTTGTTTTGGGGCCTCTCTTTTTCCTCAATGTAGAGCTTGTCAGATAGACCTCATATGGATGTGTTTTGTCTTCATGTCTAATTTGGAAACCATGCAGACCAAGAATCCCAAAAAGCCCTTGTCACAGCTAAGGCCTTTTCCTATCAACACATTAAAATATTTGAAAATCCTTATGTAGTAAGCATTTTTTTTAAAATTTAGTGGTGTCATGTTATGCATTAGTGCAATACCCTTTGGGAAGTTTTAATAAGAGAAATTAACAATCTAAATCCCAAGTAGCTCTTCGTTTGAACTGCAATCTCAGTGCTGCTTTCATTGATAATTGAAGGCAAGGTACAATTATTGCAGCTTATAATGAGAAGCTATGCCCAGGTAGCAGTTGAAGGTGGTCCCAGGACATTTAAGATCAAATCAAACTTATGATTACAATAAAAGTTAAAATCTAAATTAACAACAAGCACAACTGACAAACAATCAACATCTTGTATTTCATTTTCCAGCTAAGACATAGAATCTGCTAGTTTGAACAGTCTGATTACTGGAGGCCTTAATTCTACTACCTCGGAAAACTGTGGTACTATTCAAGACAAAGGATCTTCAGATTTTGCAATATCAAGCAAAAATGTTGTACTTGTTGCACCCCCAACTTTGATGAGTAGATGCATTGATAATCCAGATTAAAGAGCGGAGAACACAAAGTATCACTTTTTTGCAAGTTTGTGTTTGCTAAATGAACTATCACCAACTATTCATTAAAGTGCACCTCAAAGCCGACAAAACCATTATCTCAATTTGTGAACATTCCATTTTGTAAAAATTTACTGGGATTCTCACAGTGAGGCCACATTATAGGATATGTAGTAACGAATTTTTCATCATAGTGTCAAAGCTCATAATGTCATCGTTTCATACAATCAGTTAGACTCGCCTACTAGAACTTCACAGTATGATGTGTTGGCCCGTAAAAGTGTTGCATTAAGATTTTTTTTTCTGAGTAATAACTCAATTGGAATACAGAATGAATCTCACTGAACATTGGTGCTCGATTCGAATTAAATAAGATGGTTTCGGCATGGCAAACACCCACAGGAAGATTGGGCAGATAGATGTGAGTTTTGCCTTGTCAACATCATCTTCCGTGATTGATCAGCCACTTTTTCTATTTGGTCCTTGTGTTGTAGTTGAGCTGTAGTTCTCCATTCTTCAGCTTTTCTGTGAACTATCGCCATCCTTTTCATTAACTTCTCTTCCAGATTTGATCTCATCTTCTGGATTTTCACCTGAACAGAAGCAAATGCTATGCCATAAGAGGATTGTAGTCATAGGAGTCCTTAAACCCTTGAGCCCGTGGTCTAACGGAAACAATCTCTCTATTTTTTTGAGGAAGTTAAGGTCTACGTACACTCCTCACTTTGTGGGACCACACTGAGTGTGGAGTTGTTGTATAAGAATCCTTAACATAACTTATGTTTGTAGTGTCTGATGGCACAAGTTAAATTTGGCCATTTATAATTTTCTTAGGAACAAAAAGGAGGGGGGGAGTCGGACACACCAATTTCAAAGGAATTTTATTACTGCATGCAGCTGTTGTGCCCATCTTCACATGGGTTTGCAACTTCCAGAAAGAATTTGTCATGCATGTAAATATAATAATGCATTAATATTGACTAATCTGCTATCATCGCATGTGAAAAGATAAAATATATAAGCAGTACATAGGGGGAAGAGGAGGAAACATGTTGGACCACAATGGAAGAGTACTGAGTGGCTCTATGTAGATCAATACTATATACAAGACTGAGAAATTTTTCCCCAGCCAGTCAACATTGCACAGCTACTCTGTATTTAGTTATATTCCTTTGACACCCATCATGGAAACATGCTAAAGAGCGTAATCAAGGAAAAGGATCGACAGAGTTTTAGACTGACTAACTTCTAAAGAGGTGCGTATACTACTTTAGGCAAATCTCACATCAAAAAGGGAGCAAAGTGAGGTTTTACATAAGACCAGAGCACAGTTCAGGTGGTACGCTTGGCGTAGCACAAATAACAAATTTGTGAGGCTTGTTAGGCCAAAACAGACAGTAGCGTAATATGGATTTTATGGCCTGGAGACAATTCTTAGGATATGAAAGGTAATGAAAACAGCTCTAGCATTGAAATCCTACTGCCCAAAAGTTAAAAGAAGGGATAAAATAAAATACCTCAAGTTTTTTGGATTGAGCTTCTGCTTTTGCATTTTGGAGGTTTATCCAAGCCTGAATTTTTGCTTCTTCTCTTTGGTACCTACAACTCAAAATAAAAGTTAAGACTAATAAGCTCCAAGTACACATGAAAATATTAATGAACAGTGCAAAAGCCACTGACCTGAGACAGCATTTGTTCTTCTCTTCTTCTTCCCACGAACGTGTTTTGGACTCCGAGACGCTCTTTCTACACTCATTATTTATCTCAAAATGTCTCAAACTCTTCGATACATCCTCCTCTTCTTCTTCCCTCGAACTCCAATTGGTTGTAACAGAATCAAATTGTGTCCCAAACTGCAATTTTGCTAGATGGCACTCCTGAAGTTGCATGATATCAACTGTGCTATCGGAACCTGAACTAGGTAAGGCCAATGGTCCAGATCTGTCCGCGGGGGTATTGTGTCGAGCAGGCGATGGGCTCTTGAATGGAGTATGGCATCTTGAAGTAGTAGAGCTGCCAATTGGGGTCATTTCTGTCCCAATATCTCTGTGTTTAATCTCATGAATTGCCTCCATTGTTGCCTCTTTCATTGATTTTCCTGCCGCGTTTCCAAACAAAAATCCTTCTTTTGTAGGTTCTAAGCACCTAGATTTGGGATAAATAGATTCCACTTCATCTGTGAACTTATCTGCAGTTACAATAAAACTGGTATTCCTTCAACATCCACCATAACATTCATAAAGTTGTTCCTTTTTATCAGTTTTAGATTTTACCAAAATTAGAGCTAGAACCTAAAAAGATATAATGCACATTGCTGTGTAGCATGCAGGGGGCAGATATACATATATTCTAACAAAACCAAGTTTATACCCAAGACCTTTTGTTCAACTGTACTTTTACTTTTGACTCCCAGCATAGATATATATGTGAGAATTCACTAAAATTTCAATCCAGAACCCAATATTTAACATGTACAATTAGGTCAGTGCTAATGCCCTTAAAGATTGAAACTTCTATCAAGTTTAAATCTTGAACTGTAATTGATAAAGCTAAGGGTAAAAACAAGCTCCTTTTTTTTTACCTTTTAGAAAAACATCAGTTGCAGCAAAAACAGTGTTGGCAGCTCCAGCAGAAATATGGTGATGGTGTAAAGGTAAAGACACCTGAAAATCTGAAGCTACTTTAGATACCTTTTCATCTGTAACTCTGTTTTTTTCTGCAAAGACATTTTCAGTTTCTTTAAGCTTGAACCCATTGCACTGCTTTAACAATTTTGAGGATTCTAATGCTGGCTTTAAGCCATTATTACTATTATGATGAGAAGCAGGGGAATCTTGAATAGAACTTCCATTAACAAGCCATTTCTCTGCATCATCCCACTTAGAAGGGAAATTTTTTCTTGAAAAATTCCCAACACTGAAACTGAAAATGGGTCGACCCGGTGTTGATGGAGCATCCATATTCCTCCTTGTCACTGAACTTACTCCTTCTTTCCTTAAAAACCCTGCTCCATTGCTTGCTGTTGGCAATGACTTCACAAAATCAGATGTCTCCTTTAGATTAAGTTTGCAAAGCGGGTCAGGGAAACTATCCAAGAATGGGTTCTCATTTTTCCCTTCTAATGTTGCTTCCTGTCAATAACAAAATCAAGAATCATCAGCAAAAAAAAGAAACCCCATTTACATAATATCATTCAAGAAACATAAAAGAACAATCTTGAAACATTTACCCCTTGAGGTGGAGGTTCACAGTAGTTAGCACTTGCAAGATCCATATATAAATGCAGTAAGATTTTTGGAGGAATTTTTACATGTTAAAGAAAAGTTTAGTTTAGGTGAAGTAGAGAACAGTAATAACACATGCCAATGCAGAAGGAAGCAGGAGGTTCATCAGAAGAACTGTTGAATATTAGGTAAGTATTAGAAGAACATGCATTGGAGTGGTAAGCAGGAGGACAAAGACCATATACAAAAATGATGAGTTTCAGGCCCTGTGTTGAAGAGCTGAAGGGAAAATGAAACAACAGTGTTTATAGTCCTTCCTGGTTTGGTACTGGACTAGTGAGGACTAGGAAGAAAACAAACAAAAAACTTGTACTTGTAAAAAAAAAACTCATGGAGGTGTGTGATGCTTTGGGAGACGAGAAAAGTTCGTCAAAGTAATAAAATGGATGGATTATCAAATCATGGATTATTTTTTAGTATGATTTACCATAGGTTATATGCACCCTTTAAACATTTTTTAATGCGAGGTTTGGTTGCTCGGTAGAGTTATGCAGATATATAGTAACGTATGAATTAATTATGAGTAATTTATGTATTTTTATATATATGTATGATGTATCAGTTATGCATAAATTAGTTAACTATGTTTTAGTTTTATATGTAATAGTTATGTGAATTTTTAAATTGCAAACTAAACACTATTAATTTTATATATGAATAATTTACTTCCAAATCAACTATCAAACATAATATATCTATACAATATTTAATATCTACATAACTCATATCTAAACCAACTCCCTAGCGACCTATTAATATAAAATAATGTAGCAAGTTAGTCCGTATGTCTCAACTACTGTAACATACTTTTTATTTTTAACATGTTAAAAGAGTGACCTTTATTTTGTTTTTTGTTTAATGTTACTCTATAGAGATGATTTATGATTTGTTTTAGACTGCAATTTTTTTAAAAAAAATAATCTTAAATACTGAGTAGACTACGTAAATTGCAACGGAGATAATATCAGTTTTACCAAATTACCTATTATTGCTTTTCATAATAATTTTTTTTGCATACCAATGCTTAGAACTTGCATCCAATTTTTGAAGTTGTTAACTTTTTTTTATATATTTGAATAATATAAGTAATATTTATACCGTCATACCATCAAAAAGAAAAAAACATGAGCAACAACTTCAGATTACAATGGATATTTTATAACTCCATTATGTAATAATGTAAGAAGATGGGAAACGTCTTTTAAGGTTATTGATAATGTTATTATTAAAGCACTAAACTGTGTTGTAGGGTGGGCTCATGCTCCTAAGACTGAATAATTAAAGGTTAAAAAAAAATACTCCTAGTAAAGTGTTTTGTTACCGTAGTGCAAAGCAAAACTTTTTGTCTCTCTTATTAGGTGTTAATGTTAACATAATTAATCCAACTGTTAGTACTATTAAAACACAGTAAGGTACTGTTTTAGTAAACCAAAAAATTGAAAGGAATGTCGGGGCCCTTCCTTGGGATTTTGTCACCACGTACTACGTCATCCCCTATTTAGCATGAGCTGCTCCTCTATTTCTATGTTTCGAAACAAAATAATAATGGATTGGGTTAAATTTGAACGGGTTAAAATGAAATGAATTGAGATAATAAATAGGCGGATGTTAAATGATTTGAATGTTACTTGAGCTGATGAGTTTTCTTATATTGATCAGTTTGGATTATATATTAACTTAACTTTTAAATAAATTGAGTTGAACAAATTATTAAAGTAAATTGAGTAATAAATGGACGGGTTGAGCAACTATTGCTTTTATAGGCATAGTTGTCACTCTTACGGGTTGTTTAGTTTGAAGTCAATTTATGTTGAGATTAATTATGTTAAGATTAAATTATTTTGGTATTATTTTATATTGACTGATTGATTTGTTGTATTAAAACTAACATACTTTTGCATAATTTCTAAGAAGTTGTTTATTTATAAAAATATCTTCTACCTTATTTAGTGGAAAAGAGGTTGGATGGACCGCTAAGGCTTTTTATTTATAAATTCCAGTTTTTACGGAGTGTTACTAGTACATGATTTTTTTTCTAATCTGATAGTTAAACTTGAAATTATATATAGGTCCAACACGTTTCCTCTTTCAACAAGAAAATACTTGTGAGGTAACGTAAAGGATTGTATTGGCTTCTGATTGTATGAGAAGCCACAAAAGATTAATAAAATGCTTTATTAAAATTATAGTAGTGCTAATAGAGTTGATTCATACTGAATTTTTACATTTGACTTCCTTTTTTTCTTAGAAAATAAATGATAAACAAGTATTAAGTGTGGGGACTATCAACTTTGAGATAACAACTATAAAGGGAAACCTCACTATAAAAGAAAAAAACATATTAGTGAGATAATACATTTTAATCTCACTTTATTGGGAATAATCAACCGAAACTAGTCATTCAAAACAACAAAGTTGTCATTTCTTAAAGTGTTGCTTTTATTAATCAATCTGTATCTAAAATTCATTAATCCTATTAATTTGAATTCAATATATAAGGGAGAAAACACAATTCTCCTTGTGGATCTCCAAGTATTCTGACTTTGCTCCATTATTATTAACAAAAATCTTTATGTTATAGTTATAGAAAAAGTCATAAATAGACTTCTTTCTTATTATTAATAAATATATGTTTCTTTCCTGTTTATTAAAAAATATTTTTTTAGTTTTTCCATCTTAGATTGGTTAAATAATTTCAAAAATTTTTTTTCTCTAAAAAACAAGTTTTTTTGGGGGTGGGTGGGGGTATAACTTTCCAAATGAAAGTAGAAACAGGTTATATAAGCGACATCAAACATTAACTGTTAATTGTGTTCTCCTCACTCTTCAACACACTTCATCTTCACTCGTCTCTCATAAGTAATATTTATTTAATTATACGTAGATTCTTTTAGAAATATTTTTTTTAATGTAAAAAAACCACTTACTTTTTAAAAAAAAATATTTTTAACGGAATACATTTTCTTTTGTACCGAAAACACCCATAATCTTCTTAATTTCTTATTTTAGTTTTCATGAAAATTGAGACAAACATACCTTATCACACTGAGAGGATGAGAGACCCACCAACAAACAAATCAATCAATTAGGAAAATAAAAAATGTAATCAACTGTCCAAATGACTTTATAAGCCCTTATATATATACCAACACAATACATTACATTAAATAGTAGTTTGAAGATAATGCTGATAGGTCCCACTTCCCCCTTTGAAATCTATATAATTAGATAATGCATCGTGACAATTGACAAAACACCCAATATTAGTTTTCCCGTATATTAATAATAATATATATATAATAATTAATATCATCCTCTTTAGCTTACAAACAAAAAACCAAGGATTAACATCAAATCATTCGAATACTTTAATATTAATACAAGGCCTTAATTAGTTTGGTTAATACTGTATAGAACAATCAACATTTCATTTATAATTTTATCTTCTCTTCCTTGTTCCTCCATTATTTTTTCCCCCATACTAATTATGGCTGTGAGACACTCTTCTTTTGCTGCTACTCCTCTAATTTGGAAGAAATCATGTTCTAACAAAAGAGAAAATCCTGCACAAAGAGTAGTGTTGGTGTACTCATGTGCAAGTGATCAAAATATTTCAATCAAACCTACTGCTCTTCAGATCAGATCAACTTCAACCCCAAAACTTAAGGTTTTTTTTCCTTCTTCATCTTATATTGAATCTCAAGTAACACTTAACATATAAATTGTCACTACAATTGTTTACTGATATGTGTTGATAGATATTTGAAGATGAGTCAACAGGGATAGTTTGTTATAGAGATGAGAATGGAGAGATCACTTGTGAAGGATATGATGAAGGCCCTCGTTACTGCCAACAACTCACCAGATTTTGTTCTAATTCAAGGTACGTACGTATACGTAATAATAATAATAATCGTGTGATGAACAAGTAACTTATTATTATTATGTCTATATGCAGAGATGAAGAAATCATAGAGCTCCTGCAAAGATGCTGGCTTCATGTAACTGATTCTGCTGAGTTCAGTTAGGATCGATCTCATCACTTTCATACTACTGTCAAATAACACAATAAAACAGGGATTACTCGTTCCAGAGTCCCACCTTACTTGTTCAGTAGTGTATGCTGCTTAAAGGGCCTTCCTTTTCATGCTCAAAATGTAAAATAGTATCAATTATTAAGTATCCCATTGTTTTTCCTCATAACACACAAGTTACTGCAACTGGATTGGGTCAGTCTAAAGCTTTATGAATTTAAGTATGAGATAGGTAGATGCATTACAATTACTTCTTCAACCACACGTCCACCATCTGAAAACTTAATTCCATTAGCTCTGTTTCCGTTAAAGATTATACAGAGAAGAACATGGACATCAACCCAACGGGTAGAAATCAGAGAAAAAATATTACAATTACAAAAAATAAAATACACTGGAGGGGAAAAAAAGCAGTTTGCTACACCAGCTAAACTGTTCCAAAATCATGCATTCTATAAAATTGGCATTGATCCTTTGGAACTCATGTATACCTTGAATTTTACCCAACAAAAGGAAAAATAAATTAATGAATGTACAACATTATATCCACGGAGGGACACCTGAATTCTAAGCAGCAGAGACTTTCAACGAAATACAAGCCTCACAGTTCTCTGACAAGAAATCAAGTGCTCTCCCATTTAGGGAGAACGCAACTGGAATTGCGTTCCAAAAGAATGGGAACCGAAACTACTACAGATGTATGAACCTGGGATAACCAATGCAATAAACCCACTTATGTGCTCAATATACTGACAAACAGCATTAACAAATTCACTCGGCAGATCATCCACCTTGCATGTTCTCGTCACATAAATTAGTCAGCGACTTACTGGGAACAACAGATGTTGGTGACCACTGATCAGGGACCATCAGGAAATAGGTGGTCATGGCCTTTCGGAACCTCTTTTTGTACTGCTTAGGTGAGATTATAGTCGGTGGCGCATTTTTGGGTCCACCAAGGATCCCAGAGGCCTTAACCCAAGTCTCCAAGTGCTTATCCCACGTATATTGTCTCATGAAGTCAATAATCCCAACAACAAGCTCATTCTTCTCTTCATCAACCCCAACCAACAGTGAGTAATCCATCACATCAACTGCCTGCAAGGATAATTTACTCAGTTAGTCAAGAACCTCACTAACCTTGACCACAGAAGGAATTTGTTAGAAAGTGAGTATACACTTATATGCTGATTATAAGAAAATGTAACACATATACAACAGCATAATAGTCTTCAGTTAGATGTCAAAAAAAAGTTTCTCTTCTTGAGAAAAGCAAAGTAAAATAGGAAAGGAACAAATTTTCTTGTATGTCTGTATTTGAAATGAAAGGATACTTGACACTTCCCTCCAGGATCTGCATTTTTTTGAAGGACTGATTTGCTATGGAGGATATTGTTTCTAGTAAAAAATATTTTAACCA